GTGCTCCTGGAGCCGGTACAGGGCCACGGAGGGCTCGTTGGCCAGCACATACATGCTCTCTGTGAATTTGTCTGTAACTGCAGAAAGGGAAACAACAGAGTCACAGGAGGTGGGGAGCAATGGGAGGAACGTGGGGCTGGAAGGGCTCCCTTGGGTGCCATCTCTCAAGGTGTCTCTGGAAGATGTGGGGTTCAGAGAGCCCACTGCACCTCCCGCAGCACAGCAGCCTTCTGACAAAAGGCTCCAAGTTTCAACGTGCCACAGATCAGAGTAAAACCCCAAGTATTTTAGCTATTAACCATGAAATGTTAACCAGGACACGGGAGGAAAGCAGCATTACACAGGTGGTTCACTTTGCACTCCATGTCACTGCACATGCAATAAGCTCAGCACCAGGTGGAGGCATCACCTCGGGACGCTGCTGGCCCAAAAGCCCCACACCAGCTAGGGTTGGCCTGGGCTTGGAACTGCTTGTGCCTTTTCTGAGCAACCTGAGCTGGCCTAGAGATGGGAGGGAGCAGCAGAGAGCCGGTGAACCTCCTGCTTTGGGGTCCTTCTGCCTCTTCCCCCACACGCCAGCCTCAAGAGATGTCCTAAAAGTAACTAAAAAGCAGCTTCTCCTGCTGCTTTCTCACAGGATTCACCTTGCCAATGGCCACTTCCGCAGGCTGAGGGCTGTGCGGGAGCTCTGAGCCCTCCTTCCTCCTGGATTGACGCTTACAGCTCCCAGCAATTAACAACGACGAGAGGCAGAGCTCAGCGATTGCTTCCCGTTTCGTGCGGGGAACGAAGTGGGGAGGGCCTTCAGCACGGCCAGGGAGAACAACTCCGAGCAGCACCGATTCAGGGCTGCGTTCAGGATAAGCGATTTCCCCCCTCCCTGCCTCAGGGCTTTGGTTTCAGTCACAGCCGCTCCCAAACTGCGGCTCTTACAGTGGCACACACCGCAGCTCCCGAACGCGCATGCGAGTAAACGCAGAACTGCGAGATACGATAAGGCCGATACCCACCGCGATATGTCGCGATACGCGTCCCCCAGCCCCGTCACGGCGCTCTGTCGCGGCCTGCCCAGTGGCGCATCGCACCCCCCTCCTCTCTCACGACCCACAGAACTCTATCGCGACATCTGCTGTCACCGCAAGGCCCTGTCGTGGGTGGCCCTATCGCGACAGAGCAACAGAACGCCACCGGAGCCCCCCACAGCCGATCTGGCCCCACCACCCCTGCGTCCCCGATCCGCTCCGATCCGCTCCGACCTTTCTTCACCTTCAGCTGCATCTCGGGCTCCTCCATCCCGCTCCGCCACCGCTCCCACTTCCGGTTCCGGTGGCGCCCCTCTCCAGTTCCGCCCCGGCCGGGAACACCGCCCCCAGCACACGCGTTCCGCCCCTCTCCCCCGCCCCTACAATAGGGGTTCCCCCCCACACCCCTCTATTAACGGGGGCTGAGCCCACCCTGCGGCCGGGCCTCGGGGCTGCCTCGGAGTGCGGTCCGATCAGGTAAAGCCCCGCGGTCGCCTCTCCCGTTGCTCCCCGCTCTGCAAGTGTAGGCCTCGGGTGCGTACAGGCCGCGCCTCCTCCTCCCCGCCCCGGTGCCAGGGCTGGGGACATCAGGAGCAGCTCCAAGGGCTGCGACCCCCCTTATCCCCACCTCCACAGGGCTGCAGGGCCGGAGCCTCCCGTACCCCGGCCGGGGGGGCCCTGCGGGTGTTTGTCCCCTCCCAGCCCCATCTCTGGAGTCGTGCACTCTCGCTTCTGCTGGGCCTGGCAGCTTCCGCCCATCCCCCCCCCCCCCCCCCCCGCTGTTTTTTTTTTTATTTTTTTTATTTTTTCTGTCTGTTCTCAATGTGCTGCTGTGTGGCAGTTTCCCCATGGAAGGTGAAGAAGAGGCCTCCGTGAACGATGGGGACAACCTGAAAGAAGAGAGTGAGAATGGAGCTGAGGGAGGAGCCACGGAGGAGCCAGCTGGGAGCAGGGATACTGGGGACGGCGGTGCTCCCCCGGGGCTCCTGCAGATGGACAGGGGCTCCAGTTTCATGGAAGGTGACTGCTGGGGTGAGGGTGTGTCAGAGCTGAGACAGGGCACACACAGACCTGCTGGTGTTGGCTGGAGCCTGGAATCCTCATTAAAAACAGGGCGCTTTGTGGCACAGTGCCACAGTGCCAGTGTGAGGGGAGCTTGGCTTCAAAACTTGAACCAACGTTCCAGGGAATTTCATACAGGGAAGGAACCTTGGCAAGATTAGTCATCCTACACCCCCCAGTGGGGTAGGGGTGCCTGTGTGCCACAGTTGGAACCCAGCCTGCTCTCCAGCAAGTGGCAGCAAGGTTCCTAATGGCCACCATCCCTCTGCAGGTGGAACAAACACTCTCCCGAAGCCCTCAGCTGCCTCGATGGACAGGCAAAGGACTCCTGAGCTCTCGACCCTTGACAGTGAGTATCACAGAAACTGGTGCTTGCAGATCCTTGGGTGCAGCCCCAGTAAGAGACAGGAGTGGGAGAAATCATGTGCTGGCAAAAGAATCTCTCATCCTACAAAGACAGCTGGGGAAAAAAAATGTCTTTTACTGCTGTTGGTCCCTTTCATAAGGTAGCAAGACTAAGTCCAAATCCAGGCCTTGCTGATGACTCACAGCAGCAGTGAGAGGTCGCTGTAGCTCCATGCAGTGGAACTGAAGATTGCAAATTCTTTCCATGCACTTTTCTCATTATACTACAAATTGCTTGTTGAAAATATGTCAGGCTTTCTCCTCCTCTGTAGGAGATACGAGGATGAACTTGAGTGCATCCCCAGGCTGTCCTCTGCAATATATTGTGTGCAATTATGCCATTAATGCAAGATCCCTGTCTCCTGCGGTGCCCAGATGGACCATGCCCCTCCTTGGGCAGCTGTTCAGGCTGTTTTATCTTCTCTGCTCAGCTGTTGTTCCCTCACACTGGTCAAACGTTGATCTCCAGGCTTTTCATCTGCAAGGCAATAATTCTTTTTTTTTTTTGCAGGGGCAGGAAGGAATAGCTTCAGATCAGTCACATGAGGTTTACATGAGCTTTTATGAGGCTTTGGGCCTCAAGTTAGTCTCGTTCCTCCCTATGCACAGAGATGTGCCCTGACTCTTTCCTCTCTCTGGAACAGGTTTCCCCCTGAAGCACTCAAACACACTGACAAACAGGCAGCGAGGCAATGAGATCTCAGCCCTCCCAGCCACCCTGGACAGTAAGTAGAGCTGGGCAGCTTGAGCTGTGCACCTCAGACTTCAGATGCATGTGGGGTGTGGAGGGAGCAGTGGAACTGGCACCTCCTTCCATCTGCTGCTGCCATGCTGTATGAAGCATCCACCACTGACCAGCAGGAGGGAGTTAATTATCCAGTGGGGCATGGGAAGCTCAGATGGGGCTGTTCAGTTGGCACTTCCAGGGACTCCCCTGCAGATGGTGGATGCTGAGCTGAAAACAGTTTTGAAGGCTGAATTCTCTCTGTCCCCCAGCGTTGTCCATCCACCAGCTAGCTGCCCAAGGTGAGCTCAGCCAGCTGAAGAAGCATCTTCAGAAAGGTATGCATCTTCCTTTGGGTTCACACCTCAGATCATGCAGTCATAGAGCATCTTTTGATAAACGCTTGGCTTAGTTTTACAGCCTTTGCTGGGTTTACTTAGGGGACAGGAAGCAGGGAAGGTTTTAAGCATCCTATTTGTCTCATCTGCTTTTTATGCAGGTGAGAACTTGGTAAATAAACCTGATGAGAGAGGCTTCACACCACTGATCTGGGCTGCAGCCTTTGGAGAGATCGAAACAGTCCGTCACCTGCTGGAATGGGTAAGGCCACACTTACATAGCACCTGATTATCAAGAGACTTCTCAGTTCCAAGCCCTGTGGCTGCCAAAAAGTCTTGCACTGTCCCAATGTTGCCTCAGCCAGCCTTTCCCATGGCATCAAACAGGACACATTTTCAGGGGTAATGGGCCAGATAGTGCTGGATGCTTCCCATCGGGCTAAATCAGGAGCACAGAGAGCCTCATCTCACAGCTAGCAATAACTGTTTGTAATTAAATATCTGCTTATTGGTAATTTGAGATCAGACTTGTCACTCGGGCCCTGTAATCTGACAGAAAATGTGCTCACGGAGGCATCATTGCAGTTAATGAACTCACTGCTGCATTGTCCTCAAGGGCCAGGCATGCAGCCCAGGGCTGCGTGGGGGTGAACAGGAACCAGATCCTCCTGTGCCTGGAGTCAGGGTGCTGCCCAAAGCTCAGTCCCACATCCACGTGTCTGCTTGTGCCACATAAGCACTGGCCAGATATTGGTTCTGTTAGCAGCAAAACAGCAGTTCATTGCCAGAGAGACAAACAGAACCCAAAATTAATGAGGTGGTACGCTGCTAAAGGACATACTGAAATCCATGACTAGCAGAGCTTGGAGCACAGGGTAGGTTTCTAGGTAAATTAGTAACAAAATAGAGGGTGTGTATTGTCCAGGTACCAGTGTTAATGATGTGAAAAGAGGCCCAGTAACAGGAACCATCAGGCTTAGTTTAATGACACTGGAGAAGGGCTTTTAATTCCTCAGCTGAGATACTTATTTATTTAAAATACGCCTGGTAAAGACTTTGCCAAGGAGAGCTCACTGGAAACATGGGAGCAGCCTCTTCTCCACGAGGCCATTGGGATCTGGCACCACCACCAGCCACGTCAGGCTACCCAACACGGCTCTGCCAAGCTCCCCAGGAGCCTTCACACACTGGGACTGACATCTTTGCTGTCCCCAGGGTGCTGACCCACACATGCTGGCAAAGGAGAGGGAGAGTGCCCTGTCCCTGGCCAGCATGGGTGGCTACACCGACATCGTCATCATGCTGCTGGAGAGGAACGTGGACATCAACATCTACGACTGGGTGAGTGCTGCTGAGTGCAGACTGCTGTAGGAACCCCACCAGTGGTGACCAAGGCCCAGACAAGGCTCGTGCAGCTCATCTTAAAAAGAAACAGCGAGTTCACGTTGCTCTGTGCTGTTAGCAGCCACGTGTTCCTCCTTGCTGCTTCCCAGGCTCGCAGCGCTCATTTATTTGCTCGTGCAGTTGTTTTGAGAAATTAATCTGGATAATAGTTTTAAATTGTTTCCTCAGCTGCTCACACCGGTGATGTTATGAGCCTGTAGGAAATTGCACTCAGAAATGAAGGCTGCCTTTGAAATTATTTTACGGCATACAGAGAATAAAACCTGTGCAGGGCCACGCTGCAGCAAAACACCCAGTTTGGAGCTGGGAGAGGGCAAACAAAAAGGGCAGAAAGGGCCTGACTGCTCCAGGAGGAGCAGGAGCTGCATGAGCACAGCCCCACGCGAGGCCAGCAATGACACAGCCCCTTCCCTTTCCCTGCAGAATGGTGGTACTCCTCTGCTCTACGCCGTGCGTGGCAACCACGTCAAGTGTGTCGAGGCCCTTCTAGGTAAAGGGGAAGATCTGTGCTTGAACTCCTTGGCCTTGAAAATCACTGCTTGTTGGTAACCACCTTGGGGACAGAGCGTGACATGCCTGGGGGGAGAGACTGAGCAGCCTGGGGGTGTCACAGGGCATTGCCCAGCCAGGATGGGCACTTTTTTGGGGTCTCTTCACCCTGTGCCACCTCTGGAGGGGACGCCGTGGGAGCGCTGTGCCCTGATTTGCACTGCCTGCTTGCAGCTCGTGGTGCTGACCTGACGACAGAAGCAGATTCTGGCTACACCCCGATGGATCTGGCTGTGGCTCTGGGACACAAGAAAGGCAAGTGTCCCCTCCATGCTTGGCACGGAGCCTCATCTCTCCTCCCTGAAAAGCCTTCAGGGAATTCCCAGCTCCCAACCTTGCTCGGGGCTTTTTTTTTTTTGACCTTCCAGCACAGCTTTTTGACTTTGCCATGCAGAGAAATTAAGCCAGAGAAATCAAAATGGATCCTATTCCCTTATTCCCCCTCCAAACCAGTGCTGTGCTGGCAGCAGGGCTGGGACAGAGGAGATCAGCATTTCCACCTTCCTGCTAGAAATCAGAAACCACATAGAGACTAGGTCCTGCCTGCAGATACTGCCTTCTAACAGCCCTGGCTTCTCTGGCTTTCATTTCTCCTCTTTCCCCCTTCATCAGTCCAACAGGTTATTGAAAGCCACATCCTCAAGCTATTTCAGAACAAGGGGCTGGAGTGACACAGCAGCTCATGCTGCACTGCGCTTCTCTGGGCCGACGCAGGGCTCTCCTCAGGGACCAACGTGGTCTGACCCAGCGGTCCCAAAATGGGCAGCAGGAAGAAGCTTCTTGCAAGGAGCACAAGGAGGGAGCTGTGAACTGCAGCAGATTTCTGCCACTCCTGGAAGGTGGCACGGCCTCAATGCCTTGCACCTAGGGACACTCACTCCTCAGGACAGCTGCATTTCTGCTCTGTCCAGGCTCAGCTGCTTTGTGCGTGCATTCAGGTATTGCATTTTTGGAAATAAACTCTGAAGCAGCAACGTGGAGCCCTGTTTGCTGCCTCAATTGCATCCCCCTGGTCTGTCACAGCAGCCAGCCCTCAATCCCAGCACCAGCTGCCTAGGAACTGTGAAGGGAAACTGGGCCAATCAACTCTTGAAGGCTGGCACCCTCCTACTGCCCCTAAATTTGAGCTGTCTCTTTGAAGAGCGTGGCTCGCTCTTATGCCCATAAGCTTGCCAAGACCTCCCTGCATGCAGCACTATAACCAGCCAGAGAAATATCCAAGGGCTTAAGCAAAAAGCAGCAGGAAGCATCTCCCTGCCAGCCAGCAACACGGCAGGGCCTCAGCCAGCAGCTGAGCCAGAGCCCTGCAAGTCTGCAAACAGCTGCTCTATGTTCAGGGGTGGCTAAAGAAGGCAAGAAACAGCCAGCACCAGAGCCAGGGAGGGGGCAGCTTCTCCTCCTCACCCACACCCAAGCCATACAGCACCATTCTGACAGCACTGAGTCCAGGACACACAGAGCTGCTCAGTCCTGGAGCGTCGTTTGTTGAAAGCAGTTGGGAAGGAGCTGTGGGACACCAGCATTTATTCAGCCATCTGCACAGGCTGCATCCCACCAAAACACAGCAAAGGTGGCTTACAATTCCAGCACATAGTGCTCTGCACGAGCGTCCCTCCTGCTCTGCCATCCCATGGGGTGGAGTTCCCCGCTCCATCAGCGCTTTGGGTACAGCTGGGGGTGGCAAATCACTGCTGGTGGGGCTTGCTGTCCCATTTCCCCACGTGAGCAGCTCCCCCACAGGGGAATGCAGGTGATGGGTGAGCAACTGCTGCCCTACAGCCTCTCCCCCAGCACCTGGAGGTGGTACACCACAATGCGTCCAAAGAAGTCAGTGCTGTTCTCAAAGGTGATCTTCAACGTATCCAGCGCTGTCTCCTCCACCTGGAATCTGTGTGGGGCCCATGAAGGAAAAAGAAAACAGGCAGGGGAAAAACCTCGACCCATGGGAGATCTGCATGGGTGGGGATGTCCAGAATTACTGCAGCTCTGCTGAGCTGCCAGTAGCAAAGTGCCACCAGGCACCTGCTGAACTGTCACCAACAAGGCAGCTCTTCCAACCTGCAACGTGGCAAAGGATATCTGCATGGCATTGATGTCCTCGGGGTACAGGTTGGATATTTTCACCAGTTCTTCACCTGTTCTGCAGCCTGTGAAGGATAAGGGCAGGGGCAGTTGTGCAGAGGTGCTGCGGGGCTCTGCGAGCTGCAGCAGGCACAGCCCCGAAAACCCTCAGGTGCGCACAAAGGGAAGCAGAGCATCCACAGCCCCCCACAGCCCCTCACCTTCCAGCGTGCACAGCCGGCTGGAGAACCCCCCCTGGAACTGAATGTGGAGCTGTGAGACTCTGACGGTGTGGGGGAAATCCAGGGTGACCCATTGGCACGAGCCCTGGAGGCAGAGGTGATACCGGGGCTGCGTTACGGTGGGGACGGAGGGCCGTGCGTTCCCCTCCCCGCACCCTCCATCCTCCCCCGTCTTCGTGCCCCCCACCTGGTCCGAGTTCCAGCACGTCTCCTCGTTGCCGTCAAACATGTGCTTCTTCCCGAACTGCTTCACGTCGCGGTTCAGCACCGAGCTCACCCTGCAGGGGGGGGCAGCGGCACCGTGCCGGGGTCAGCGGCAGCCGGTCCCGGTCCCTGTCCCACCCCCCGCCCGGGACCCGCACTCACCGCGTGGCCGTATCAGCGCAGACCAAGGGCTCCGCGGGCATCGCTGCGTGCGACGGACCTGGACGGCAATAAGAGCATAGCGGGAGCACGGCAGCACCCGGGACCCCCGAGCAGCACCGGAGAACCCCGGGAGGCACCTGAGCAGCATTAGGGAACACGAGAAATAGGAACACCCGAAAAACTCCCAAACCCCTTCTCACCCCGTGCAGGAAACGCCACCTCCCCTTCCGCGGGGCCGAACCGATCCCGCCCCGCTCCGCTCCGCCCCCCGCCGGTCCCGCACTGCCCGGGATGATGGTGGGGGGCGCGGGGAAAGGCAGCCGTGAGCTGATGCTGCAAAGGCTTCGCTCCCGGCCCTGCAACCCCTCCCGGCCCCAGCACGGGCTCTGAGCTCCGGGTTACGGGGACCCCCCCAGCCGGGCTGACTCAGGGCCGCCCCCGGCCCGGTGCCCTCCTGGTCCCGCTCTGTAGGTGGCAGTGGTGGAGCGCGGCTGGAAACAGCGGCCTCGAGGCTCTGCAGTGAGAGAGCGCGGTGTGTGCAGGAATCCTTGCACGCCGGAGCATCGCCGCACACGGGCATCTCTGCATGCTCCTGCATCCCCGCACAGCCGAGCATCCCCGCATCTTCCAGCATCCTTCCGTGCTCCAGCATCCCTGCAATGGAGCATCCCATGTCCAAACACCTCTGCACACCCCGGCACTCTGCCAAAACCCCACATGCCCCCAGCACCCCCGCACCAGTGAAAGAAGCAGAGGGTGACCCCAACCCTCCTGCAGCACTCATCCCTGCTGGGTGCTGAGCCGCACACCCCGAGTCTCCGTGTCCCCAGCAGCTGCGCAGGGAGCAATAGCCCTCTGCACACACGGCAGCTGTTAAGAGCGCTCCCTCCCAGGCACATGGTGCTGCCGTGCTTGCCCACGGCTCGGTGTCTTTGTGGCTGCTCGGTGAAGCTGCCAGCCCCAGCCCTGCTGCATCCCGCATCCCCCACCAGCCTCAATTTGCTGAGGGAGGTGACAAAAGCCACCACCTCCACCGCGGTGATCTGTAGCCCTCTGAAGCATCCCGGGGTGTTTGTCTGCCGGCATGAGTCACAGTGACCGTGCTGAGGCTGCCTGCGCTCAGGCAACAGCAAAAATAAACCCAGTGCTGCAAAGCCCTCACCTCCCCCTCGCAGCACAGCTCTGTGCAGGGCCTGGGGGCTTTGTGTTCCTGCCTCGGTCCCCCCCAGCTCTGTGCACACACGCGTGCATGCTGGCACATGTGTGCACACGCACACGTGGCGGTGAGGACACATGCTAGCACACACGTGCATGCAGTGGCACACGCCAGCGCACACGTGCACGCATGACGCATGCTGCTGCACCTTCCTCCTCCTCCCTCCTTGAGTTTCGCCTGAGAAATTGGGTCAAAAACACAGGAGCCTTAAATGTCACTCGGTTAATCGCACGTCGGGGGACCGGGCTGCTATTTCTGCTGCTGCGACCCACGCCTCCTCCCTCCTGCCTCTCCCAGCAGCATCCCAGCACTGAGTGGGGCACATCGAGGTTTTTCTGCATTGCTGAAGCCCCACTGACCCGGGGGACACCAGGCTGACATTTCCCCCCCCCGACCCAGCCCCAGCCCGCTCTTTCCTGCTCAGCACCTCACATCCCCGAGGCTCTTCATCCTCTACATCTCCTTCGCTCTCGAGGAATGCCATGGGATGCTTCACTCCCGGCTGCAGTGCTGAATGCTCCCGGCTGCCATCCAGCCTGCACTCAGAGCTGCCTTTATCCAAAACACCACTGAAGAGGCTGCAGGGCAGCATAGAGCCAGAGCCCCAACCCCACTGCTGGGAGCCCCACTGCTGGGAGCCCCCCAGGAGCAGTGCAGGCAGGTCGTGCTGGAGTGCAGGAAGCGCTGCCAGGGCTTTTTGTGTGCTGGGTGCCGGCGTGCGAGTTTTGCTGAGCAACCTCGGCTGGCACAGGAGCTGCTTCCAGAGAAGAAGCGGGTGTTGTGCCCTTTGCAGTTAATTACTTGCAGCAATTGATTTCCACTTCCGTGTAAACACTGGGGATTACCGGTGAATGCAGCACAGCCCATTCAGTTCCGCGGCCGCTGCCCTGCACAGTGCTCTGCCTGTTCTCAGGGAGCTCCATGGGATGCAGCTCTGCCCCAATCCCCACGCGGAGGGGCTTTAGGTGCCCACATGGGGAGTCTGGGAGGGGTTTGGCGCGCTGCTGGCACTGGGATGGGAATTGATGCTCCATAGCAGTGTGGTGGTATCTTCGTACTGGGAAGGAGCAGTGCATGGCAGTGCATTGCGCGGGGAGGAGGCAGGATGAGGGATGTCATCCCACTGACCTTGTTGTGGCTGGCTGCAGAACTCCCAGCAGGGTGAGTGCCCATAGGTGGAGCAGAGAGTGCTGAGCACCCACAGTGCTCAGTGACCCTCAGTGCCACGGGGATGGAGCACTACAGTGCCTCTGGGGCCGGGGAGTACATGTCACTGTGAGCAGGTGGCAGGGGGGGATGTGTGCTGTTAATGAGCCTGGCTCTGCATGCAGGAAGTGCTGCTCAGTGCATGGTCAGGACCAGGAGGGCAATTACCACCAAGGCTAATAAAACAGCACCACAACCAGCCCTGTGCTAATTGCTGCTGGTGTCAGGAGAGCTGAGGACGGGTTAATGTCCCCGTGCCCATGCTGGAGGGGGACGTGTGTACTCTGTCACCACACACCCAAATCCCCCATCCACGCTGTGCTGGGGCAGAGGTGCAGGTTTGGATCCCTTAGAGCTGGTGACAGTGCCACTCCTGGGAGTCCCTGGGGGGGGACAGGGATGGGTGACAGCCGTGTCCCTGTGTCCCCAGGGAAGGTGGGTGCTGTGGGAGGGCTCGGGAGTGGGGCTGGGCTGCCAGAAGGCTGAAGGGGGATGGGAAGGAGGCAGTTGCTATGGAAACAGAAAATAAAATCAATTCATCCTGCTGGTGGGTTTGGAGGGAGTTGTGCCTGGCCAGGGCAGAGCCCCAGCACCAGCGCTGTACCCACAGCAGCCTCCAGCCCAACACTGCATGGACAGAGACCCCACTGTGCCCTGGTCACCATGCTGGGGTCAAGTCCAGTGCAGTACTAGCTTTGACCAGGAGCAGGGACACTGCAGGGAGCAGCAGTGGGGCTGGGGACAGCGTATCCACGGCAATGGGGCTCAGCTCATCCCCCTCTGGAGCATCGAGGTGTCCTGCCACCTCTTGTCACCAGGGTGAGCTGCCATCGGGGTGTGCTGCCCTGCTCCAAACCCAGCACTGACACCACAGCCACATCTCACCCAAAACCTGACGCTGCTGCTCACCCTGCATCCAGCCCTGCCGAGCCGTCCGTCCATCCATCCTCTGCCTGTCCCCGTTCCAGTGCCCCGAGTGCTGGTCCCAGCTGCAGTGGCAGGGGCCTCATTAACACGCCGCTCTCCCAATGAACGTGGCAGCTCTCCTGGAACCAGCTCCATTAGCTGGCAGCAAACCTGAGGAGAATAACAAGCAGTTCTGTGGGGTGCGGGATGGGTCCCCACGTGCACCCCGAGCCATGCGACTGCGCTGCTCAGTAACGGGGTCCCCTCTGCATGGTGGTCTTTGGCAGGAGGCACGCCTGGCTGAGAGCTTCCAAACTCATGCCATATGTGGTTCCTGCTCCCTATAGCCCTATAGCCATTCTGTGGTGGGGGGTGCATTGTGCCGATGTCCCATTCCCAGTGCTGATGTCCCCGGGGGCAGGAGCAGGTCCTGGCCCTCGTCCCGTCCCCGTTTTGCACCCATACGCCTGCGGCCGCCTCCCCGGCGCCCTCCCCGCATCCCTGTCACAACAAAGGAAAACATCTCTGGATGGAAGCTGCAGGAGGGTCGTCACGGCAACACTGCTGCAGGATTTCACCAGAAACCCGTGTTCCAGCTCAAAAAGATGCACCAATCCCCTCTATGTTCCCTTGGACAAAACCGGATGGGGTTGAAAATGAGCAGAGCCAAGGAGCAGAGTGACCACGTGCTGCCGTGCAGGGGGCCGCCAGCCTGACCCTGCTGTGCCTGCAGACATGGGACACAGTGAGCTCCAGGCACTTGGAGCAGCCTGGGGCAGAGCTGCTGGTGTTTTTCATGGGTGGGAGATGCCACGGGGACAAGGTGGAGAATGAGGACGGGCTGGAGGCACAGCTGGACCCCACAGCAGACCCCAAGTCCCTTCCTTCACAAAGGATGGAGGACTGAGGACATCCCTCTGTGCCACGTGCAGCAGCATCTCCCGTTCCATCCTGCCAAGGCACCAGGGCTCGGCCAGGAGGCACAGAGACCCCACAAATTCACCTCTTGCTCTTAGGAACAGCTGATGGTCCTCAGCGCTGTCCCACCACAGGCCACGCTCCCCAGGCACGGCGCAGCTGCCAGCGCGGGGGGAGCAGTGTCTATTAAATCCTCATCCATAAGCCGTGCTGGCTGGTGTCTGTTATGACATTTATCTCCACTCCAGAGGAGAGCTCCGATAACTCATTGCCGGCACCTTCGCTCAGCAAGACAAATGGCCGGCGGCGCATCGGCACGGCTGGGGCTGCCTATGATTCTATGATTCCACGGGGCTCGCTGCTAACCGGGCTCATCCCACAGCCATCCCCAGGGCAGGGGGTGGAATTCTGGGGAGGAATCACCCATCCGAGGCTGCACGGCTGTTGTCAGTTCCCTCCTGGGAGAGGGGAAGAGCTGATGACATCCTCAGGGAGGGAATGCAGTGCAGGTGTGAGCACCGCTGTGGATGTGGGACCAGGAGCATCCTCACCCCTCATGGTGCTCACAGGAGCAGGTGAGCATTTCGGGGCTGACCCCATCCTGCTGTGCTCAAGCAGTGGTGCTGCCTCAAACGTGACCATCCGTGCTCCTCCATGTCCCCAACGCTGGGACACGGTGTGAGAGCCCAGCCCAGCCAGCACCCACGGGTGCACCTTTTCCCCCATTATTATGGACTGGAGACCTGTAGGGTGACACCAACCGACACCTGGGTGCGTGGGAAATGGGAAAAGTGTGGTGCCAGCACAGTAACAAAGCCAGGTCCTTCTCCCCTCTCCCACTTGGCAAACACCACGGGGCCCTTAACCCCTGCGCCTTCCCCCATGCTCGGGCACCTTTGGGGGCAGGAACGCCAGCTGCAGTGGCATAGAGGAGGGGAACAGAAAGGCTCTGTGACAGGGGCTCACAAAAGGCAGGAA